ACTTACAAAATTATTTTAGTTAAATAATGTGTGCTTAAAAATGAATCTTGGCCAAATAGGAGCTCAGAATAAACCCAAAGGGACACTGAAGTACGGTGACTTCGTAGGGGACTGGTAAAGGGGATTCCCTTTTTTCCCTTTTTTTTTTTTTTTCTGAAAAGACTGATCTAAGGACGAGTAGTGCTTTTGAATCTAAGAAAGGAAAAGAAGGCACTGATCTTCCTTCTTTAATATTGTCTAATTTTATCACCAAATATCATTACAAGCATAAAAATCATATCCTGGCACTTCTTATCTCCTATTCCAATGAAGGCAACAATTTCATAAAACAAACATTGATGAAAAGTAATGTTTTATCTCCAATTTCTAATTTGATAAACATGGTTAGACTCTTGAATACTTCAAAATTCTATCACATATTTCTATGACATTGCAGGCTTAAATGACTTGACTCTACTTCAAAATAGTGTTCTCGAGTAAAATAATGTGATAAATTGTAGCTTACTCGACTTGACTCCAGTTCAAAACAACTATTATGAGTAAAATAATGTGACAAAAATGTACCTTCCTACTTTTTCTTGAATGCTATATCTCATGGTGTGATGACATGTACTCAAAAATTTCCGAGCATCATTCTTCACTAAGGCAGACATTAGTTGACTCATCTATATCATTACACCAATGATTGCTCTCCAAAAAAAAAAATGATTAACACCAAAGCACACATTCTGCCAGTTCTCAACAAATGCTATGAATTTTACACGAAAATTGTGCAATCCAAAACTAATTACAATATACTTGTGAAGATTATAGGTTACAAAAACAAACCAAGCCTTATTCTTAATAAATTTGAAATTAAAGATTAAATGGAACAAAATTTATACAGTACTATAGATGAACTAACATTTCAAATTTATTTATTTCAAATTTCTGTTCTCAAAAGAAGCACGCAAGCCCTTAAGTACATCCCTCATAGCATAATAATGGATATCACATTTGTGATCTAAAATTATGTTGATCGAAAATAATTTCCTCTGAAAATGTTCACCTGTTTCTCTCTTGCACAGCATGAAAATTTCCTCACGTTTGTCATGTCTTCGTACAACCACGATCCTTTTTAGATAATAGAGAGTTCCAAGTACATATAACTCAGCTACTTCACTGGCAGTTTCATCACTTTTTAAAATATCGCAGCTTGCACCTGCAGGATTAGAAGTTGAGGAAATGCTCTGAACCATGTCAACTTCCCCCTTTATGGACAACTCTGCATGATTTTAAGGAAATTCAAGGTTAGCTTCATCAGGACTTCAAATTATAAATGAACAAAAAGGAAGTTTTAGAAAGAAGGGGTGAATGACACAGCTCTAGAAGACCAGATGGGTACATAAAAGTACTAAAAATTACACATTTAGTCTACTCAATCAGGAGATTGAATCACTTGATTTAAAAGTTTGAATTTGTTAGATAAGACCACATGTATCATTTAAATCTTGTCTTCAACATGCCCCCACATTTACTTGGGATTATTCTCTTATCAAAACTTCAAACGTGCACAATTTCATTAAATAGGTAGTTGCGAGTGTAAGAACTTTATTAAAAACTTAAACTTTATGATCTTGCCAAGATCTTCATGTCAAATCATCAAGAAAACTGAATTAACGCGGAACATACCTTAATCAATTGATTTCTGAATTGATTAATGAATTCTGAATGTGGATCTGTAAATCTTCAATTT